AGCGTTCAGCGGCAATGGCAAACTAGTCAAGGTAAAACTAGCTAGTAAAAGCCACAAACCACCAATAAATGGCGGTGGTGATGATGGTGGGAATGTTGGTTCTGCAACATCCGGTAAGAGATACGGAACTAACTTTCAATTATTTTCTTCAGATCTCCCAGCAGTCATTGTTTAAGGCTTGCTGTATTCCGGCATGGCTGGACAAACAAGAAGAACCTGCGCCAGATGATGCGCGTGTTGGCTCAAGCAGTGGGGACAAAGGGGATGAGATTGGAAGTCTGTTGTCTGTAAACAGTTAGCTGTCTGTCGGACTGACAAGGGACCTATCACTCACAATGTTGAACAATAGAACCGTCGGTGCCAATGTGGGCTTCAGTTCCTAATCATTTTTCCGGGGGGTGGGGGGGGGGGGGGGGGGTGGGGGGGGGGGGGGGGGGGGGGGGAGGTGGGATGGGGGTGGTGAAACAGACCCACTTCTCCTTAACAACATAACATGACCCTTGACCCATTAGGGTTGTAGAGGTTTGACTGACTTTCTACCCCACTAGGACATCACACAAGCGATAAACACCCGATGACACAAAGTGCCACCATGTGGATGAGGATCACTGTGGAGAGGTCCCAGAAACCGCATTCAGACAATTGGCCATATTGATGGCATGCCTATATTGCGGCCCCTGGCAAAAGCCAGAGTGGGGCTTCAAATAACAAAAAATTACGCCCTAAAAAGGACGTGGGGATATATCATCATATTAGGTCGTGGAGGGGTATTGATGGAAGCACTAGCACATAAAACCCGTCATCTTTCTCTGTCTTCTGCTTATTGAATAAGTGTCGAGTCGAACGTAGAGCAGAAAAACGGTCGTCGTCTTAGGGGACCGGAAATGTAACAAGCATGTCCTAAAAAGCAACTAAATAAGGATTCACTGAAATCAGACATGCTGGGCTGCAAGGCAAAGATATCATAGTCTAGCTTATGTGTAAATATGGTGGATTTAGTAAAGTTAACAAAAATATCTTCTTCTTCTTCTTCTACTACTACTACTACTACTACTACTACTACTACTACTACTACTACTACTACTACTACTACTACTACTACTACTACTACTACTACTACTACTACTACTACTACTACTACTACTACTACTACTACTACTACTACTACTACTACTACTACTACTACTACTACTACTACTACCGCCACCGCCGCTGCTACTACTACTACTACTACTACTACTACTACTACTACTACTACTATTACTACTACTACTACTGCTGCTGTTGCTCGGCTAATACTACTGCTGCTGCTCCTCTTCGTACTACTACTACTACTACCACTACTACTATTACTACTACTACTACTACTACTACTACTACTACTACTACTACTACTACTACTACTACTACTACTACTCCCCCTCCTCCTCCTCCTACTACTACTACTGTTGCTGCTGCTCCTCCTGCTCCTACTACTACTACCACCACCACTATTTTGACTACTTCTACGTCTCCTCAGTTCTTCCTTTGAATCCTCATCCTACTTTCAGACGAATATATACTATTTCATGAAAACTAAAAACCATGAAATTTATAGTCGATGAAAAGAGAGTTGTTGATAAAAAAAAATAACAGAAGTAAAAGAGACACACTGCCGTGTTAAAACATAACGTAGGGAAGAAAGACGTAAATACGCTAGAATCGGGCGGCTAACATCAGGTGATGGACGGGCAAGCCACAAAGAGTGTACAAGCAAACCAGCAGACAGTGTTGCAGATTTGCGGTACTGACTGTCATTATGAAATCGGCACTTGATTAGTGGACTTATTCCTATTTATAATGCTAAATTATGTTGATAATTATAATTTATTACTGTAATCTGCTGAGAATGGTTTAACGACGAATCGTTGGTCCTACGAGAGATGCAAATAGCGGGAGAATGGAGAGCGAGAGGCGGCAACCAAATTCGTAATCTGTTTAACTCACCAATCATTAAAGGCATAGTGTGACCTAGCAGGTTGTGTTTGGTTGCAACATTCATAGAGCACGCAAGATAACCGAGAGACAAAAACTGGGTAAGATAGATAAAACTTGGGGCAGAGAGACCAAATCTGGTTAAGAGAGACAAAATATATATAAGAGGGAAAAAACACTGGGTAAGAGAGACAAAACTTGGGGCACAGAGACCAAATCTGGTTAAGATATACAACATATATATAAGAGAGAAAAAAAACTGGGTAAGAGAGACAAAACTTGGGGCACATAGACCAAATCTGGTTAAGATATACAATATATATATAAGAGAGAAAAACAAAACTGGGTGAGAGAGACAAAACTTGGGGCACAGAGACAAAATCTGGTTAAGATATACAATATATATCTAAGAGAGAAAAAAAACTGGAATCTCGTCCTTTTTAGGACGAAATTTTTTGTCATTTAAAGCTCTACTCTGGCTTTTGCCAGGGGCCGCAATATAGGCAGGCCATATTATGGCCAAATGTCTGAACGCGGTTTCTGGGACCTCTCCACGGCGATCCTCATCCGCATGGTGGCACTTTGTGTCATCGGGTGTTTATCGCTTGTGTGATGTCCTAGTGGGGTAGAAATTCATTCATTCAACTGGGTGAGAGAGACAAAACTTGGGGCACAGAGACAAAATCTGGTTAAGATATACAACATATATATAAGAGAGAAAAAAAAAACTGGGTGAGAGAGACAAAACTTGGGGCACAGAAACAAAATCTGGTTAAGATATACAACATATATATAAGAGAGAAAAAAAAATGGGTAAGAGAGACAAAACTTGGGGCACAGAGACCAAATCTGGTTAAGATATACAACAAATATATATATAAGAGAGAGAAAAAAACTGGGTAAGAGAGACAAAACTTGGGGCACAGAGACCAAATCTGGTTAAGAGAGACAACATATATATATATATATATATATATATATATATATATATATATATATATATATATATATATATATATATAAGAGAGAGAAAAAAACTGGGTGAGAGAGACAAAATTTGGGGCAGAGAGACCAAATCTGGTAAAGAGAGAAAAAAAACTGGGTGAGAGAGACATAAACCTGTGTAAAATAGATACAATCTGGGTGAGAGAGACACAATTTGTATAAGAGAGAAAAACACTGGCTAAGAGATACCAAAACTGGGCAAGAGACCAAATCTGTGTAAGAGAGACAAAATCTGGATAAGAGATTAAATCAGGGTATGAGAGACAGAATATGTGTAAAAGAAAAAAATATGTGTACACAAAAGAGCTGACCACGGAGACAATAGAGAGATATTTACGCGGGACTGCAAACACTTGCAGTCATCAACTGGAAAGAGAAGGCTAGTCACATATAAGAATGGACGTGGGTGAAGATGTATGAAGCACTAAATCTCAAGGGATCGAAATGCTGAAGAAGAAATTATTTATTCTAATTTGAAACAGAGACGAGTCAAAATCCACCAACTGGCGATTTCTGCTGAACAAGTATTTCTGGCAACACAATGAATCACTGGTTGTGAGAGTATCGTCTGCTGGTTCCGTTTTACACACGAGACAAAAGGCAAGTAGCGAAACAAGCGGAGTGGGAGACAGACAAGGGGAGAGAGGAGAGGAGTGAGACAAAAAGAGAGAGGCTGAGAGCCGGATAAATGTGAAGGAAGTGATGAGTAAGAGAAAGTATAACTCCCCAGGTTTGTTATTGTAAGCAAAAGTTCCCGGCTAAAACTAACAATGGCGGCATGGTTGCCATGAATGAGAACAGAAGCGGGAATGAGGTCAGGCAAGGTCGCGATTTATTGCCCCTGCTTCTAGATAAATACACAGGTGTAATAGGTGTCGGGTGGGAAATGCAGGGAGGGAGGGGTCGGGGAGATAGAGTTGGCCAGGTATTAGGATTTGGTCCAGATGTGAGAGACATACAGGCAGTCTGAAGTGCAGCTAAATGGCAGATAGGAAGATAGAAGACAGACACGTGGTTAAATAGTTAGACTGGACACGCAAGGGGGTGAAATACGAGACAAAATTTAGTCAGAAAGTCGGTTGCACAGATAGACAGGCAGGCGAGGGGAAAGACAAGGTGGTGGAATTATGTACAGAACCCAGTGAAATACTGTCCAACTGGAATGTAATCTTGAAAACCCAAATAACCTCCTCACACAGAAGAAACAGGCCACTGAATGTGTGGGTGGACAGGCAGGCAGACATATATGATCAAAGAAGACACAAACAATAAACTGCACAATTTATTGCCTGGCATATTTTGCTGTATCTCGTCAGGTTCATACTACAGTAACAATTAATTAAAATGAAGCAAATAGCTGAATCCTAGAAACTGAAACACAAATTCGAGTACATTCTGAACTGTCTGTTTCTAAATTCCGGGCACAATAATAACAGGGATGATACATTTCGAATTATTTACAATTCGGCCAACCATAGAATACTCCGATGGGCGGAAGCTTCCGCGATCAGCCGGTTGAAACCAGAACTCTGTAGGCAGAAATAAATGGTCGTTACCTTACGGTTACTTTGGTGAAACAGACAGTTTAGAATGTACTCGAATTTGTGTTTCAGTTTCTAGGATTCAGTTATTTGCTTTATTTTAATCAATTGTTACTGTAGTATGCACCTGACGAAATACAGCGAAATATGCCAGGCAATTAATTGTGCAGTCTATTGTTTGTGTCTTCTTTGTTCAAAGACAGATATGAAACGACAAGACATGATATGACTCAACAAAACGTGCCCTCCCAGGATAAAACACTACATAAGACATGACTAGACCGACATGACATGACAAAACAAGACATGACAAGACCGACATGACAGAACAAAACAAGACCGACACGACATGAAAAAACAAGACATGACATGACAAGACATGACATGACAAAACAAGACATGACAAGACTGACACGACATGACAAAACAAAGCAAGACATGATAAGACTGACAAGACACGACACAAAATGCCTCTCTGACCTGACAGACAGGTACACTGATAGCTGTATGGTCCAGTCCTGCTGCAAGTGCCTCCATTCTGGCACAGTGATGGCTGACAGGGCACGTAGACGTCCCCACAGTGGGCCCCGGTAAACTCCTGGGTACATAAGCACCTGGAAGTCAGCAAACAAGATAAAATACATATCGGCATTTGTGAGGTAACGGAAAGTCAAAACAACGGTCTTAGTGCGAATAGCAGCGAAATACAAGCAATGGCAACTACACAGAAGTTGGACGCTCCAAATTGCAACATCAATGTAAATGGTACAATTCTCAAGCAAGCTGGTATATTTAAGTTCTTGGGTGCCCGGCTCGAAGGCGTAGTTCTTTGTGGTCCGGGTTCATGCCCGGGGGTAGGCAGAAAAGCCACATTTCTCCCAGATTTACGGTATTTACAATGGAATCAAGGCCGAAGGGTTGCGGTCTCCATAATATCGAGCCTAAGGGTTAACAACTCATGGTTTCTGGATATTAAGGGGGAAAATTTCTTGGGTATATGTTAATATCAGATGAACGATGTATTACGAAAATTAAATGTAGAATATCTGAAGCAAAGGCAGCATCGTAAATAAATCATATCCTCATATTTGGAAGGGAATCATGGACAGTTACTTGATTAGTGGGAAAAAAATGCTAATAGTCCCATGGTTTTATATTCCAATGATGAGAATAACAGGACAGAAAAAAAAAAGAGTAATGAAGATGTCTTCTAAGAAACAGACTCCCAAAGAGAACTGATTGTCCACAGTAGAAGGAAACAGTTCACATTCTTTGGTCATGTCTTGAGAAGTAGAATACATCATGGCGGTGGCAAAGTTGAAGGAGAAGAAGAGGGAGGCCGAGAAAGAAGATACTGGACAGTTTGACATCATGACATGCAAGATCTTTGTGTCAGAACTGACTGAAAGAACACGAAACAGAAGCAGCCGCCGTGGTGTAGCAACTAGATGCTCGCCTGAGGATCGGAAGCTCTTGATGTTCAGGCCCTGACTGTACCGAATTTTTAACCTCAAAAAAAAAAAAAAAAAAACAAACACACACACACACAATAACATTGGCTCCCAGGTCGTCCCAAACTTAATTAGGTAGCAGGTATTGTTCTGGGACGTAAAGGCGGCCGGCATGACGCCGACCGAATCACCCACCGAGTGACGATTGGCCTATTAAATATAGATCCAGCCAAATAGGCCTGAAGACGTGAAAAAAGGTAATAAGTAAGTAAGTAAAGATCTCTTTTCACACCTGAGGCGCACCGGGCACATAGAAAGAGCACCCATATTTTTACACACCAATCAACACTGGGTGGGTAATGGGGTCAGCAAAAAAGGGGTTCTTTACTTTTCTTCACACGAAGTAGAATGTTGTGGATCGACATGACTACCAACGCCACACGGCATCGATCAAAACAAGATGGCTGGTCCACGTGCCTCCTTGCAGCAGGGACGGTCAGTTTGTAATAGAGAGATAAGCAATGATACGAGGGACATTCAGAAAGTAGAGTTCCACAGTTTGTTTTAGAGAGATAAGCAATGATACGAGGGACATTCAGAAAGTAGAGTTCCGCAGTTTGTTTTAGAGAGATAAGCAATGATACGAGAGACATTCAGAAAGTAGAGTTCCACAGTTTGTTTTAGAGAGATAAGCAATGATACGAGGGACATTCAGAAAGTAGAGTTCCACAGTTTGTTTTAGAGAGATAAGCAATGATACAAGCGACATTCAGAAAGTAGAGTTCCACAGTTTGTATTAGAGAGATAAGCAATGATACGAGGGACATTCAGAAAGTAGAGTTCCACAGTTTGTATTAGAGAGATAAGCAATGATACGAGGGACGTTCAGAAAGTAGAGTTCCACAGTTTGTATTAGAGAGATAAGCAATGATACGAGGGACATTCAGAAAGTAGAGTTCCACAGTTTGTATTAGAGAGATAAGCAATGATACGAGGGACATTCAGAAAGTAGAGTTCCACAGTTTGTATTAGAGAGATAAGCAATGATACGAGGGACATTCAGAAAGTAGAGTTCCACAGTTTGTATTAGAGAGATAAGCAATGATACGAGGGACATTCAGAAAGTAGAGTTCCACAGTTTGTATTAGAGAGATAAGCAATGATACGAGGGACATTCAGAAAGTAGAGTTCCACAGTTTGTATTAGAGAGATAAGCAATGATACGAGGGACATTTAGAAAGTAGAGTTCCACAGTTTGTATTAGAGAGATAAGCAATGATACGAGGGACATTCAGAAA